CACTCAATTTTTAGGTTGTTGGGTTTGACAACCTTTTTCAACAAAGCTTTCCTTCTTTTCAACAAAGCTTTTCTTCTTTTTGTCATTCATTGCACCGAAAGCATTGGGTGACAAGAAAGTTGGACTTTTCCATTGCACCGAATGCTTTTGGGTGCGTGAAAGTTGAGCCCTCCCTTTTTGACTAACAGCTACGGCGATGCTCAGAGCTATGGTGGCCGAGGCGGTGGTCATTTATGTGTTGGCCTTCTTGTTTTGATGATGTTTAACAAACAATTTACTTCTAATGTTGTTTGTCTAGTATTTGTATAATTCTATTTATTGTAGACAAACAACAAGTTGGAGGATGGATGGAATTACGCATTCACGATCATATCCAATAGAGGTTGACGGAATTGTGGAGTGAAGCCTATGCAATTCAAATTGAAGATTTAAGTTCAAGCTTCATCCGCAAGTGTACCAAGTCAAGCTTATTAAAGATCAAGATTGCTTGGGTAACATTTAAGTTCAAGCTTCATCCGCAAGTGTACCAAGTCAAGCTTATTAAAGATCAAGATTGCTTGGGTAACATTTAGTTTAGGTGTTATATTATGTGTGTTGGTACTTTAAGCTCAATATAATATGCACACATATTTTATTGGTTTCTTTGTATATATATATATATATAGTTATATATTTATACATAAGTTAAGTTTTGGTTTCTATGTATATTTAGTTATATATATACATACATGGTTTTGAGTTTTCAAGTTTTAATATGAAACAATTGAATATAATTAGAAAACATATTTTTGTTTCATACTTACATGCATATATATGATTTCATCAATATCAATTTTATTTAGTTCAATGAAATCATGTTTTAGTGCATTATATGTATATTTTGATAAAATACTATATTCATTGTTTATAGACTTCATAACAATAGTTTACATCTTTCTTCAAGTCTATAAAATCATTTTGTATTGTTTCAAAATATGGTTAAGCTAAAAATGTCAAAACACATATGTTCACATTTTCATGTTTTGGACTATTTTGTAAAATGATGATATTTTTTATTTGGGAGGTCCTTTTTGAAAACCAGTTTTTGTAGCATGTGTATTATCATGTCTACAATCATTTTCCAAAGTTTTATATTTTTCTGAATTTGTTTGATATTTTTAAACAGGGTTTTAAAATCATCAAACTGCTTATTCCCACGGTTAACCGCCGATCGCCCAACGACTATTTTTGGTACAAAATCAGATTTCTGATTCTTGGGGTTTTTGGTCTTTTCCTTTGGGGTTTTTTGCTGAGATTTTGGGAGGCTATATATACCCCTTGCTCTCATCTCTCAAACCAACCAAGAAGTTTTTAAAACAAAAGTTTAATAAGGGTTTAAGCTTGGTTAGTTTGTTTTAAGTTTGGGATTTTACAAAGAGGAGCTTACATCAGTTGTTGAAGAGTTCATCTTTAATATTTTATCATCCTCTCTTTGTGTTTATAGAGAAGTTTCCTTAACTCTATTTCCTAGCATTTTTACTATTGTATTTCATATCAATTTTATTGCTAGTTCTTCTTAAGTTAAGTCTTATTTATTCTCATTGTTACACACACCCACATTGAGCTTATTGTATTTACATTCATAGTATAATTTGGGTTATAGGATTATATCATTGAGAGTGAGCTTACATTGTGTTCTCATCCATATTAGAGAACAAATCATTTGTTGTTATTTGAGAGTGTTATAGAGTTTTTGGTTAGCTAGAAAACTGTATTGTAAGGTGTGGAGTGTAGATGTTGATCGGTGACCGTTAAAAATCGATATTGTAAGGTGTAAACGTTATTCGGGTGAGCGTAGAAAACCCGGTTGTGATAGTGGATTTCTCCCCGGGAGTGGGGAGCGGAGACGTAGGACGGAAGGTCCAAACTCCGTGATCATATTGTGTGTTTGCATTGTTTATTTATACCATCACTCTTATCTTGTTTATATTTATTTCACCCTTGTGTTAGTTTATATATCCTTGCATATATTACATCTTTGCTAGGATATATCTCTTTATTCATATTGTTTATTCTTGCTTATAACTCTTGTATATCTATCTTGCAAGAATATATTTGTATTAGTTTTTATTGGCGTAAAACCGGATTAGATTAGCTTAAGACCCTAATCATCCCCCCTCTAGGGTCTAACATTATGTTCCATGGCGGCGACGCGACGAGGTTGAAACCGAGGATGTAGGGGAAAGTAATGAGGGAAGAGCGCAGATCAAGTGTTTGAACAAATTCCTAATAGAGTTTGTGGAACCGAGGTTTGTATTCTGAATCCCAACTCGGATGGTAAGCGGATCCACACCTTTATAAATCCCGGCGCAGAAGCGTATGAATACCCCCTTGATATATTCACATCTGTATTCTATAGAAGGTGAATTATACAATGTTAGTAGGGTTAATTCTAGAAAACCCTCATCTGTATCTATATGGGGTTAACTTGGAAGAGAGTGGGAGATGTTTAAGAGCAATCAAGATCAAAATGATGGCAACAGGGTCAACTTTTTTAGGCTGAAAAAGTATTTTGATTTTCCTTGTGTCCACGTGGTTATTACGTGTCACGTGTGTTTATCGTGTGACACGTTAGACTTAGCCACGCTATTTTGGGTAGAGGTGGAAAGAACAAAATTCGAATAGAATATCCCGGTATATATATTCGTATACGGTTCATATTTGACTATCCGAATTCGATATGAATAAGAAAGAGGTATTCGAATTTGATATTTGACTATTCGTGTAACTACTAATTTAGTTAGTTCCGTCAGAATCCGATTTCAGATCCAAGAGTTTATTCAAAATGATAAAAATAAAAATCCATGTGTAAGATGGAATTGCTTGCAGGAGTACATAATTATCAAGTTTGTTAACCTATAGATAAGTATATATGGGATTTAAGTGCGGATTATTAAGGATCCAAACCCGATAACACAAAGCATTTGATATGTACTAAACTACTAATTTAGTTAGTTCTGTCAAAATCCGATTTCAGATCACACTCACATGGGTTGGTAGTGAGGTTAGTACCAAACACAAAAAATGACGCTTGGTAGTGAGGTGCCACATTCTCCTCCACTTATTGAAATCGGAGCTCGCACTCACATGGGTTGGGGAGTTGTTGGGAATGACAATGAGTGGATGGGACACCTCACTACCAAGCGTTAAATTTATACTTGGTACCAAGCATATTCATTTTTTCTCTATATGTATTGCACTATTAATATAATGGATTGCGATTATGATATAACTTTCTTCAGGGTCTTTCTTCTTGCAAGGTCCAGTTAGCATGCGGCAGAAAAATGCGCTAAGGATTTTAAGCTTTAATTTACAAATTAAGAATAAACGGAGATCCTATTGTCTCCTTTATAGGGGAGAAAAAGAAATGCTTTATTCATTAATCTTCATACTAGCATGTATGTGCCTATATACACATCACAATAGCTATAAGCCTATATAGAATAACCCCCTCAAACTCACGATACAAGGAAACTTTGGGTCCGTGTAAGAAAAGCCAATTCTACATATTTGAGCCTCGGAAAAAAATCAAGCGCCGGTGACGAGATCAGTATGATATGAATTCAACGATATTGATGAAGATAAATCTAATGAATATAGCATTGATTAAATAAGATGGAAATCCCAGGGCAATTTTCTGTCTTTGGCTATTTTTTTGCGTCTATTTGGCCTTCTCGGATCTCACTCTTGAACAACAATCAATTTTTTTTTTTAATTGTTGTACAGCACGGTCTTTTTCAACTTGCTTGCAGAAGCTTTTTTTTTTCTTGATGTCGTTCCCAAGTATAACATATCCTAACGTTAATTGCAAAGTTTTGTTTTATTGGCGTCGCTCGCAAAGCCTCCTTAATTTTTCTCTTTATCGCTCACGAGCATCTTTTGTTTTGAATGTTACTTACAAAGCTTCTTTTTCGAAATCGCTTGCGAATATCTTATTTCTTACGACATTAAATTATTCAAATCTCTTTCCAGGCAAGTTGGTGCTTCACTAATACCATGTCGTCAAATCATTCAACTCTTTTTCAGGAAAAGGGGTATAATCTCTACGTTCCAATTGGATTGGAGGAAAGATTATTAAAAGATAATCACATAATTCGTTGTCTTTATAGAAGTGTCTGGATTCAATGTATAAGTTATACATAAGGCCTTTCTATTAGGATTTTCCTATATTTAATGTTTTCTTTACTTAATAGAGTTTTTCTTTCGTAAGTATTTTATATTATATATATTTTATATTATATATAAGCATCAAGTGTTACCCTCTTATTCAGAATGAATTGAGAAATAATAAACTTCCTCTCCCCATCTCCCACCCCATCGTTAATTTCAAGAAAAACATCCAGCACGTTAAAATAAATTATTAAATATTTTGGTGGAGAAAATCCTAGTTTTGAAGTTAATTTGTAAACACAATAAAATTAGAATAAAAAATAAAATTTAAGAATTGGATCTAAGGCCTTCTGAAATCTAACGGTAAGTGCTGCAACTGGATTTATACACCACTTGTTTGTTTTTGACATTTTAATTATAAATTGTGAATAAACCTACAAATTGTTTTAAAAAATACTGCTGCAAATGTTAGATTCAATTTGAAAGAAGAGAGGAAAAGCTGCAGGCTCCCAAAAATAAATTGGAAAATAAGAAAAATTCTTTCTCATCAAAAGGATCTTTTCAAATCAAAAAGGGCAATAATACAAAAATTAGAAAATAAGCAAAATTCCCTCTCATCAAAAGGATCTTTGCAAATCAAATAGGACAATTAACCCATGTTTCATTCTACGATGAGATTGAATTGATTTTATATAAATTATTATTTTTAACTAAATACTGAATTTTCATTGAATACATTCCCCAAAATAAAATTTGACTTAGAAGTTAATTTCCTATAACAATTGCTACAAGCAACATTTGCTGCAAAATGCTTTACTGCAATTTATTTTTGCAGCAATCAAAACAACCCATAATATAAACTTTATCCTGATCACCAATGAAATTTGGGACCCATCATTTCTCCTCCATTTAGATTTGAAGGTAACAACTTTTTTCCTTTACAAAAATTGCAACTCAAACTCAGGGGAAAATGTTTCAGTTTTATCATATTTGTTTCTCATTATAGTAAAAATGCTATATTTCATTGCACAATTCATGCATAAAGGTGCAACATAACCCATTGCGAGGATGAAATAAACTGCAGTTTTATCTCTGGAGCTCAAAGTTCTCTTGTCATCCTTAATTTATCTCAGCTGGAAGATTGTCAAAAGAAGTTAACATGAATAAATCAGGAATAAGCGAAACAAAACAAAATTTTAAATAAGTCAATTTCATAAAACTACCATGAATTATTTGAGAGGATTCTTTTTCACTAAAATACACTGAGTGACAACCTTGGTGTAAGTTGGCAAGCAACGAGTAAGGATTCTATCATAACACCCTATAGAAAGGGGTGATCTATACCATTCATGGGTGGAGTTAGTTTGGAAATTACAACTCCCCTATTTCTGGTGTAGTTCACTGTACTACTATAGGAATGGTTCTAAAAGGATCTTACGAGCAAGTGAGATGTACATTAAAGATAATTTTCTAATATTAAGATAATAATTTTCTGATAGTATGCATTCTTTTTCTATAGATTTAACAATTTGTGGTATTTTAAATCCCCTAATAATTTCTGCTAGTTTGGTTAAAGTTATCCTTTAATTAATGAATTGAATTAAGAACTTAACATGGTCAAGTGGGCAAGAGTTGTAACAAAGGCAAGACTCTTCAAAAGGCTTTTGTTCATAACTTCTCACAAGTCAAAATTTCAATTATGACTGAAGGTTAATTTTGATCATGCTTGTACCCAAGACTATCAAAATGTTTAGGCAAGGGAAATCGTGGTAGAGAAAATCCAATAAAGAAATTACGATAAATCCCACAACAGAAAAAATTGTTGAAAGGAATCAATGCTTTTAATCATAATCGTCTATTGTTTCGTAAACGTTAACGCATACAATATCCCCTATAAATTGTTTTCATATCCACTTTTCAATAAGACTTAAAAGATATTTCACCATATTCAACTAAATAATAGACTAGTGTGATCAAAATCTCACCTCATACTCAATTCTAATTCTTTCCTTCCATAGACAGAGTGACCTGGTGGCTGTCCACATGAATACAAGGGATTCTATTTATTAATTTACCAGCTAAAGGTTTCAAGAGTAAACAACATTGGCATTGATGATAACAGCATATTTGCAATCACAAAAGGACTGTCATTAGTCTAAATGTAATGCATTGAAGATAGATGGCAAAAAAAAAAAGAAACAAATAAAAAACGTTGATGCAAGATTAGAATAATTAGTTTGTGCCTGACAAGTCATCAATCAAAGCAAAAATGGTACCTTTCCTCTGTATCACTGATAGATGCTTCATTGAAAATACTTGCTGACCTTGATATCCTTTGCATGTCATCCAGATACCCCTGCCAACAAATCACTACCTTAGTTATGGCAAAATACCTGTTTCTGAGGTACTAGACATGCAAGCATGTGGGGTTGCAGACCACCTAAATTAGCTAATTAATCAAAAACTCAAAGTAAAGCCATAGGTCAATTATCTAATGCAACAAAAAATTGCAGAAACTATACAAAACACGTTATTGACAACACAATTATTTATCACATAAACCATAGATAAAAGTATCCTCATCATTTGTTATCACTATTCACTAGTTGCAGAAAGATAGAGATTCAAGGATCCCATTTTCACTAAAAATGAAAAAGTTCATTCCGTTCCTAACTTCCTATACTTTTCAGGAATATAAAACACAACATAAAAGAACAAAGATTGCACTACAAGCAGCACCGAGTTACCTGAAGTATTCCAACAGCAGCGAACTTGTCCAAGGTCGTCTTGAACTCCACAGGATGCAGATCTAAGGGCTGTAAGAGGGCTTCTACACACTGGGAAAAAAGAAAGAAAAGTTTCATCTGAATTGCATTGCCCGCACCAGAGCCTACATCAGCATTAGACCATAGTCATACCTTCGAGGTGAAATTTTCATCCCAATATGTATAACTCATGTCATGGAGTTTTCCTGTATTCTTGAGCTCCTCAACAAAAAGTTTCACCTGAAATGCCTGACCCAGAGAAGAAAATGAGGGAGAGGAACAGATAGAAGAGGAAACTGTCTTGCTCTAGTACTAGCATTGTACCTCTACATTAGCTTGACCTTGTAAACTAAAAGGGTAGCCAACTACAAAACCTACCAAAGAAAATCTTGACACCTGCACAAACAAAACAGTAAGTCTCAGGCTTTAGTGTCATGATTTCAAGTAAAGAGTATGCAATCATTTTTTATGACTGTTTCTGTAGGCAGCAATGTGAAAATTTACACCACCACCCTCATACTGAGAACTATGCATTCAGCTCATTCTATTGAGATAGTGCTAAAAAACTACTTGTTAGTAGCAAAATTCGTTATAGATACTGCTCAGTACAAGCCGTAGCAAAATTCGTTATAGATACTGCTGAGTACAAGCCGTATTGGGGGATATAGAAATACACGCATACAAGTATAATATATTAAGCAACATTTTTTACACTACCACATACTAGAATTATTTATATGTTATTTTTGTCTTTTAAGAAGAAATGCACAATATGGTATATGGAGTCTAGGATGCCACATGTAAACCAAATTAAGCATTCCCATGGACAATAACCTTGAAGCCACTCATCTTACTATTACGAGGATGCTCTTGTTAAAAAATTGTGGAAATCTAATTTTAAAAAACTTCTACCTTGAACAGCTATGTCAAAGACATTGAACATGGCGGAATGTAAATATCTATATGCCAAGGGTAGACCAATATAGAGTGAAGCTGGCAGATTCTGCATTTCACAAACTTCTGCTCAAAATAAGCACATGTAAGTGGTGGGATGCCCAGTCAAGGATAGACCAATATGGAGTGAAGCTGGCAGATTCTGCATTTCACAAACTTCTGCTCGTAAGCACATGTAAGTGGTGGGATGACACTGGGCATTTTGTATAAGTACAAATAGACACAGCAAATGAAATGTGAAGGGTTTCAAATATCCAAGACTTGTTACTATTACTACATCTAGTGTCTCGACACTATCCAATATGATAATTGTTTAGTTGTTTGTTTGTTTACTTAAACTGTAATTAATATAATGTCGAAGCAATCAGCTGTACAATGAGCATCATTGTAACAGAATTTCCTCTATTCTTATCAAAAAATTTTATAATCATTCGAAATGACGTTAGGTGGCATCTTATGATCTAGTTAATTTGTCAGTATGTCATCTGCTATCCAAGAGCTCAGAACTAAAGGCGACCCAATGAGCAATTCATGTAGTGGACTTTCAAGGGCAAGTTTAATTTTAAAAAAATTATAGCAGCTGTTAGCATATAGTTGAAGAAAAAAAAGACCAAATCACAGAAACATCCTGTCATATAGTTGAAGAAAAAAAAAGACCAAATCACAGAAACATCCTGTCATTCATGAAGAATATTCAAAACTTCATCTCAGATATCATGGTTTTCTGAAGAATAGTTGAATTCATCAATGACAGAACTGCCATGTTCCTACTCTTTCTGGTTCAATTAAGAAAATGCAAAGAATAAAAATGTGCAACAGATGAACTTACCAGTGTGCCGAAGTCTTTGGCCATGAGATCAATGTTTGTTTTCTTCCTTACCAAGACACTAAATCACAACAACCATGCCAATAAGTCATTGAATAATGTAATATGGTCCAATTCTGAAAATCACAAAACCATAATAAGATAGAACGATATGCAATGCGGATTATAGTGAATACAACTCCATTTAGATTAATTACATTGACTGCATCACTTAACTGCATGTAAGGAGTAGCTCATCAAAGTGTAATTACCAAGGGCAAGTACTAAAAATAAAATCGATCAGTCTAACTAACTTGTTCCTATCCTTTGATGCTAAAAACTCAAGCCACGGCTCTCTCCACAAGAACAATCAAGCAAAATCATTGTTCTATGAAAGTATAATATTTCACTCTCAATTAGAGTATACAGCCGAATAAAATAAATTTCAAACAGAAGGAATTTTATGTACATTATTTAATCTATTAGACATCCAAGTTTGAGGATAGGAATCGATTTCCAGCAAACGGCAAGGCACACAAGAATATTTGTATTAAATGAATTTTAATATAAAGAACATAGAAACCTGTGCGGCGAAGCAATTTTGTTCTCGAGATCAGAGACAGCTAAACCAACATATTTATTCCCAACATCTAGTCCCAGCAACCGCCCTTGCTCCACAGCACAAGTCTTCAAGAGCATCTGAAACAATTCCGCCGGCTTGACCAACTTCATCTGTGCCAAAATCATGCAACAACCGTAATATGATCAGCTAACAATGCGAATATGGCATGTCACCTAAGAAAATGTTATCTAAGATTTTTGTTTTTTAAATTTAAACTCAAATAAGTTATCTGCTTGAGTTTAGCATGTTGAGTATAGAGTTATAACTCTCACAACATTATTGAGTTTTAGGTGTAGTGAAAAAGTCTTTTAATGAGTATAGCTATAAAATTATACTACGTAATACTTAACTAGCTAAAATGTCAAGAAAATATGTTGACTGTCACTCACTTGACTACCAATTTCCAAAAACAACCAAATCAACAAATCATCCTCTAAACAAATTTATCTACGACATATAACTATTAATTTAGAGTGGCAATCTCCATCCATCTGAGGAGATTGACCAAATCTGATTTGAAACTATTGGGTACAGATCGAGCATAATTGGATATGGATTGTAACTGTAGAACCAGATAAATAAATGGATCAAGTAAGGACTAAGGGACTTGACTTAGTTGACCCGGTTTAACACAATTAAAAGATGATAATTTATTAAAAATGTAAACAAATCCTATAAGTATCAAATAGAAGACAAGTTATCACTCAATCACAAAAGATAATTATCTCTTGTGGCCAGAGTGTTCACACACGACACATGTACTCACATTTAAAGATGATAACCTGTTCAACTCCTTATACTAGCAAATTGTTTTTAAACAACAACATATTTGTCTTGGTCCGTTGCTAATCGTGTAGATGGAATCCCAACAATGGTCCCACATTGGGAAATTAAAAGACTTTGAGACGGTTTAAATGATGGGTCTTGGAAGCCAAGTGCAACATTAACTAGTCAATTTTAGTGGAATTAAGTATCACAAACCCGACACATGACAAACAATATCAGAGCAACTAGAAAGTCGGAAGTGTGGAAATTAGTGCTATGTAGGATTATGCGCTATATTGCGTAAGCATGGTGGGACTCAACTCTATAGCCCATGGGAAACACCTATAGGATCCACATCGCCTGACAATGGACCTCAGATGGACCCCTTCAAGCCCAAATGATGATGTCATGTATATCATATGGAGTGATTGTAATACCTCCAATAATAATCCCAGGGAAATTAATAGTGTTTGAGAGGGTTTAAATAATGAATCTTGGGAGTCAAGTGCATCACTGACAAATCAATTTTGGTTGTGATTTGAGCTAAACAATGTGTAACACTCGATGGGTACCAAGCTTACAACATGTAAACTAGCTTGCAGGCCCTAGGCATGAGACAGATTAATAAGAGTAACTCGATTATTAAGTGAATTAGATTTCAATTAAGGTTTTCATTTGATCAATAATAGAATATGTATGAGATACATAAACAAGTTCATCTAGCGATCGGCTAAACCTGTTCAACTCGTCTTATTGCCACCTTTACGCCTAATAATAGGTGCATCCAACCTAAACTAGACCAACAAGCTAGTCCACTCTTGTCTAAAACTTATAACAATGTAGTTTGTACACAGTTAAGTACCTCAAAAGTATATTGTTTTACCATTCAGCATTCTTCTATATTTATTTGAGCTAACATATATACTAGGAACAACAACGTATAAGCGAAGGACTTTGGATCCTTCTTGAAAGATTCGAATCCAAATACTTGCCTTTGTAATTTCATGTTCAACAATCTTTTCAAAAAAATCAACCCGGTCAAATTAATATACTTCATTTGGAGTGTTGTACACCAAATTTTAAGTTTTTCTTGTTCATGAGTCAAGTAAACAAATTGATATATGGAAAAACGATACTTGCTTAGACTTGCATAATAATTCTCATTCCAGATATTTGATAAAGATTAAACACTTAAATGTTCCTTGCACCTTTTTTGTTAGTCTAATGTCCTTACCATTAAACTTTCTGATTTGTTATTTATATCCTTTTTTTTGTGTCTTGTTGATGCATTAATAACAAAATTTAAGAAAATTGATTTTTTGGTACTTTGGTGATCTAAATTAACTTTAGGGAAGTGAATTTTTCATATAGATTCTCAAAATATTGAATTTAAATAGGAGAGTTCTAAATCTTCTTCAAGTAGCCAAGTCTATGTGTATACACTCATATCCTCCTATAGAGAACTATTGTGTACATTTATGTATAATTATAGGAGTGAAGCTCATACCCAAAGATCATAACATGGAATAATCTACTACAAGCTGAAGTTGATCTCACAAAGAACATAAGAGAAAATAGATAATCCTCAAAGCTTAGAAAGCATCAATGCTTATCCGACGCCGTCTCCTCCGCATGTGCACCTACAGCCTCTGTAACAGCAAGTAATCCTTCCACTTAAAACCGACAAACCCAATACCCAAATCACTATCATCATCAATGCTCCACCATTGGTTTTTTCCTACTTTTTAGACTCATCTCTCATCTTACGGTATAGAAAGTGCTAAGGCATTGTCTCCCATTCTAATACAAAGTCTGAGTACTGAGCAATGGCAGGTACTACAATTGACCTAAAATTGTCAATACTCATTTGTAAGATCTCGGTGACTCTGTTCCTTCTCTCTCCACGCTACATTATGATAATCAAAGTGGTATCTCCATTTTCACGAATCTGGTATTCCATGAGCACACCAAACATATTGAGGTGAATTGTCATATAGTTCAACAAGATCATGTTGTCACTCACATTACTCTCTCCCCCGTTTCCTCTAAGGATCAAGTTGTGGTTTTGTTTATCAAGGCACAAATCATTTCTAACCAAACTCCCGATTTTGATTCAACATACATTTGAATGAGATGTTAAGATATGTTACATCTTACCCTATTTTACAGATCTCACCAACTTGTAATTACCCAGTTTACCACTAACACTAACTTGTTTCTATTTGTATATATACTAGCTACTTATCCTATTAATAAAATGCGAAGAAGCTCTTTTTCAAAAGTCAAAACAAGTCAGCTGAACAGGACAACTGTATAGGAGGCGATACTTGTATCTTTAATCTTTAATAACTTTGATAGAGAATATTTCATGCAATTTGTGAGATATTGAATTTAAAGCTTGGTTTGGTAGCAAGTATAAGGAGGAAAGGCAAGGTGAAGTAAGGTTCAATAAGATACAAGAGGGGCTTATTTAGTTGGAAAGGGAGCAATGGAAGGTACATGAACTTTTAGTTCACTTTGCATCTTCTCTCTCTTCACTATGTTGTCCCTCCAAAATGAAGGGATTTTCTCTCTATTCACTTTCTAGTTCATTTTACATCTTCTCTCTTATCGCCTCACCTTACTCTACTTTACCTTATACTCTAATAACTCCTTGGAAGGAGGATTTTTAATCTTGTTTCTCACCGTACTCTACTTCCCCTCCTATCAAACAAACCCTAAATAGATGAGTTCCAGATCTTCTTCAAGTGGCCAAGACTAACTCTATATAATCTCTCTTCTTGTAGAGAACTATTTTGTGTATGTATGTGTAAAAACGTGATGCTCGTATCAGAATATATGGATCACATCATGATTTAATCTACTATAAGATGAAGCTGAGCTTATAGAAGTTATAGTAGATAATAGATTACCTTCAAAGCTTAGAGAGCATAAATGCAAGACGCTCATCCGACACCGTCTCCTCCGTGTGCACACCCACAGCCTCAGCCAACAACACCGCCAACTGATGCTTACACTACAAAACCAACCAATCCAAACCCAAGTCAGCAACAACCAAAAGATAACAAATTACAATGAAGAAGAAGGCAGCATACACAGAGCTGCTCGCTCCTGCTGACGATATCGTAGAAGAACGAGTAGCAAGTGCAGTGATGCTCAGGGAAGCAGATATACTCCTCCTTCCTCCTCGATTCTCCCACCACCTGTCATGACAGAACAACCCCGAAGTTCAAGCTTTGTACATCAAAACAAACGAGAAGAAGATCGAGAAATGAGAGAGACAAGAAAGAGGAACCGGCCGCTGGGGTTGCCGGTGATTCTGCGGACTCCTCCTTGATCGACGATTCTCGTTGCGCGCTCAAAGTTCTTACCGAACAAGAAGTGCAAGATTGAGAGTTGGTCGTCGGAGACGGATCGAGAGGATCTGATCTGACCCCAGATCGAGTTTGCTACGGCGACGCTCGGAGCTGCGGCGGCCGAGGGAGTGGTCATTTATGTTCCATGGCGGCGGCGGCGAGGTTGAAACCGAGGATGGAGGGGAAAGTAATGAGGGGAGAGCGCAGATCAAGTGTTTGAACAAATTCCTAATAGAGTTTGCGGAACCGAGGTTCGTATTCTGAATCCCGACTCGGATTGTAAGCGGATCCACACCTTTATAAATCCCGACGCAGAACCGTATGAATACCCCCTTGATATATTCGCATCCGTACTCTACACAAGGTGAATTATACAATGTTAGTAGGGTTAATTCTAGAAAACCCTCATCTCACTATTACAAAATGCCTTATTAGCAACAATTAATAAATAAATTGTTGCTAATGGGGCCTATAAAAAACGGGTCCACTGGCAACTCAGTTCATATTTCTATTTGAAACGGTTTACTTTTTTCTGTCTTAATTAATTAACCAAAATCTGTATTCTTAGGGAGGGGGGAAACAAAAACTTTGGCGGGACTGTTAAGGTAAATAAAATGGGGAAAAAAACCCTAACTATTACCTCCCTCCAGCCCCATCTCAAACTCAAAAAGCCCTAGATCTCCCCCACTCCCTTACCCCGCCGCCCTTCTCCCCCTACTTCGTAGGCTCCCATACTGGCCCGCCTTCCCCCTGCCTCCTCGTCGTCAACCCTGCCCCGCGGACCCTCTCCCTCTCCCTCTTGCTCTATTCGGCCCCCCCCGTCGGCCCTGTCACCCGTCGCCCCTCTCTCCCTCTTCCTCTATTCAGTCCTCCAGCCCTCTCGTCGTCGCCCTATCCCTGTCGCCCGCGCCACCCTCTCTCCCTCTCCTTTTTCCTCTATTCGTGCCGCCCCCCCACCCACCTCTCCGCGCCCTCTTTCTCTCTCTATTGCTGTATGTCGTCGCCCAACCCTCGTCGGCGTTGTAATTCTTGTGTCTACTAAATCATATTATGTTACAAACGTTTGTTCTACAATAGGCACGTGCTCTATGGCTTTCATTAAATTGAATACGTCATAAGTTTGTCACTAGAAGAGTTATTGCAGCTTTATCTTTCCTGATTGATATATATTTACATGCTTTTATATCATGTAACTGTTTGTGTCCATTTGCTAGGGAAGAAGTGTTGATTGACCAATACGTATCTTTCCTTGTTAGATTCTAATTTCACTTTGAAGCATGATATTGCGTACGACCATGTACAGGTTCAAACATGATCACTGCATAGTTAATGTTTACCCTCTTTACTTTGAAGGTAAGCTCTTTTAGCATTGTATCTTTTTTCTCAAGTACCTCTTAACATGAACATGTTATAGTTGTCTGTCATTAACTTATCTAATTAATTTTTAAAAAAATTTCCCATGTGTATAGCAAGATTCTAAGATGGTGATGATATGAGATACCTTTTCGTCATCTGATCATATCGACAAATCTTCTGAGATTGATTTGAAGTGGTAAATACATCTTTATCTCTCTCTTGTGGAATGTTATAGAATTGAAGTCATGAAATAGGATAAATTGATGTTTGCAAATGGCTTAGATTATATGACAGTTAGAAAAAATTGACTATCCAAGCATGTTAGCCACAATGTTCTGGCAATTCTATCTGAAATGAGTTTGCTGATCTATGGAATCTGGAGCATTTGAAAATTTCTTCGCACTTAACACTATTAAGTGTGTATTTTTCATATGTAATAGTGCCCATGTCATTGAAATTGTGTTGTCCTTTTGTGTACTATTTGATGCTATATATGTAGATGGTTAAAGCTTTAAGTATTTGCGAATAGAGTGTCAATAATTATAAAATCTAAATCTTTAGAGACTTAAAATTTCTTTTTTATTCTGTTTCCAATCTCTAGTATTTTGGGCAGACATGGGCATGACATGGTGGAGGTTGCTATGTGATGGATGTTGGGTCCTTTTGTTTTGATGATGATTAACAAACAATTTATAACTAATATTATTTGTCTAATATTTGTGTTTTGTATTTATTCTAGGCAAATAATATGTTAGAGGATGGATGGATTGCGCCAAAACGATCATATCAAATGGAGGTTGGCGGAAATAGTAGAGTGAAGTAATGCAATTCAAGTTGAAGATCCAAGTTCAAGCTCCACGAAGAGCTTATTGAAGATCAAGATCATTGCTTGGGTAATTTAGTTTAGGTTTTTATATTATGTGTGTTAGTACTTTAAGCTCAATTATATACACACATACACGTTTTGGTTTTGTATATATATAGTTATATCTATACATATATGTTTTGGTTTAGCTATATAGCTATGAAACAATATATATCCTCATATACACTTTTATATATTTTATATTCTATTGTATTTGGAAAAATATTGTGTTTTTGGTTTATATGGTTTATAGACTTAACAACTATAGTTTATAATTTTTTTTATCAAGTTTATAAAATTATTTTACAAAGTTTCAAAACTTGGTTTATGTCAAAACATCAAAATTCAAGTATCTCATGTTTTCATGTTTTGGATATATTTGCAAAATGATGATATTTTACATATGGGAGATGTTTTTTGAAAACCAGTTTTTGTAACATGTATATTACCATGTTTAAAATCATTTTCTAAAGTTTTATAATTTTTGGAATTTGTTTGCTATTTTTAAAAGTAGTTTAAAAATAAGATTTCTGCTTTAAACAGACTGTATACTTGTTATCAGTCGATTGGTCAGTCGACTGATGCAATCAGTTGACCGATCAGTCGACTGATGAAAGTGCCTACAATTTGTTAGACCCTAGAGGGGGGGGTGATTAGGGTCTTATGCTAATCTAATCCGATTAAATGTCAATTAAAATTAATTAACAAGTTATCCTAGCAAGTATGAAATATAACAACTGTATAAGCTAGGATAAGCAATATGAACAATGAGATATATCCTATATGATGAATATGTATATGCAAGGATATATAAACTAACACAAGGGGTAAACAATATGAACTAGATAGTGGATCATATAAATAATGAGACAATGGCGAAATGAGCAATGAGCATAAATAAGAATAAACGCCAAAGCACATTCAAACACACAATATGATCACGGAGTTCGGACCTTCCGTCCTACGTCTCCGCTCCCCACTCCCGGGGAGAAATCCACTAACACAATCCGGTTTGGAAGCCGGAACTTCTTCTACACACTCGGTTTTCTAGCTAACCGAAAACTCTACAACTCACACTCTTGCAATTACACTCTACACCCACTAAGTGTTGGACCTAGCCGTGTCTCCCTCAAGTGCTCGGTTACAACCTCTCCCTAGGCACGTCAACCGACGCCACTCCTCTTGGGACGATCCCCGACTCTCACCACACACTCCTCACTCGGTGTACAAGTGTATTACAAAGTGATTCTCACAATAAGCACAAATATGACAAATGATTGTTCTCAAAACAAGGTGAGAACTCAATTAAGCACAACTCTTAGTCACAAACCCACAACCCCAAATTATACTATGAATGTAAATACAATAAGCTCAATAGGTTGTGTGTGAACAAAGAGTATCAATAAAACAATTAAACTAAACTCAAATATAAATCTAGCTTATGGAAATTATAATCAAAATAATAAATTGCTAGATGAGTTTAGAAACACTTCTCTAAAGATGACAAGAGAGTAGGAGAAGAGTGAATGCTCAAACACCAAAGGATGATCTCCACTTGCTCTTGTGAAATTGAATTCACAAACTCAAACCCTCAATTGCTTAAAAGCTTCTTAAACCAAACTTAAACAAACACTAAACAAGTTTAAACCCTTGTTAAAAACTTTTTAAACCATTCTCTTTTAGAGAGGGAGAGGTAAATGCAATGAGGTATTTATAACAACCCAAGACATCAGCCAAAACCCCAAGGAAATGACCAAAAACCCAAAAACAAACAAAACAGAAAACTAGCCGTTACTGTGCAACGGCTCTCTGATAAGTCGACTTAGAGTCGACTTATGACATATACAGTTTTTGGCAGATGCTGAAAATTATGCGTATCTGGATTTGTAAAATCAGTTAAAAATAGTAAATCAACTCTAAACATTATGAAATTTTGAGGGATGTTTCTAAACATGTAAATAAACATTTTACAAAAATAATTTCTGAAATATCACTTCTCATTTGTGAGAAATAAATATTTGAATACAGATATTTCAGATTCTAAAAACTGCTGAAACACCCGATTTTCTAAAATCAATTTGACACAGTAAATTAACTCCAAAAATTATAAAATTTTTAGGGAAGCTTCTAAACGTGTATATGAACATGTTAGAGAAGGAATTTCTTAAATATCACTTCCCATTTGAGAGAAATAATTTATTTTGTAAACTGGTCAAAAATACATAACTGTGCAACACTTCATAAGTAGACTTATAAAAAGTTATAAGTCGACTTATATAAGTCGACTTGCCTTGCTTTATAAGTCGACTTAGCAGAGGAGAAAATGCACTTTCTAGAGGAGTTCATAAGTCGACTTGTCAGGGTTTATAAGTCGACTTATAAACATGCACAGGCACTGTTCATGCTGGAAAACTGATTTTTAAAGTGCCTTTAAAAATAACAAATAAATTCCAAAAATTATGAAACTTTGGAAAATGTTTATAAACATGATAATAAACATGTTACAAAAAGAATTTTTGGAATTGCATTCCCCA